AGAGAGAGAGAAAGAGGGAGATGGGAGAAGGGAAGCAACGTAGAGAGATCAGCATTATAAAGTTGGATATGCGCGCTGTTTTATGTCGACTCGTGCACGCAATGATGCCGCTCGCACTTTTACGTAATATGTACAAGCTCACCCGTAAGAGATAAAGTTTTAGCTTCGCGTCCTGGCGGAAAGAACGGCATCGCTCGGTGAGTGAACGTACATCCGAACAGGATGTTGTGTTTTCAAAAGCGAATAATCAGGATCTATTCTTCCTATATTTTGCTTCCACAGATACGATTACTCATGCTCGTAAATTTCCTTTGTCTAATATGAAGATCGTATTCAAATGTAAGCAATCGATATCGTATAAATAATTCGTTATTAAATATGTAACGGACATGGATTAATGTATTATTAAATATGTAATTTGTTTTTCTGATGTTGGGCGTGCCTGAGCTAGTCGACGCGAACTCTGAACGTAAGCGCATACGATTTGCCTATATTGAATGCGTAAAATGAAATTAATTTAAAGGTCTACCACTTTTTGCTTACCGTTAATTTTGTACTTACTACAGGGAGCAATGAAAACATTTCAAAAAGAAACATTAGTGACATTAATTAATTCTGTCTTCAAAGCAAGTCTGAGTAAAATATTCATATGCATAAGTAAAATATAAGAGTCTCCGTCTTGTAGAGAGTTTCTGATTTATGAATAAATTTACTCAAACGTAAATATTCTTAGCAAAATAGTTAATAAATTAAAAACTCGGAAATTGCTGTAAAAGCATATGGGAAATAAATTATCTTGAAAGAAACCACTTTAGAAGTGACTACTATTTTCATAGGAATTCAAGTGGAAATACGCAGCTCGCACATCGGAATATAAAAAGCGCATTAAAATCTTCGGCGTGACGAGTGTCGTGTACACGACATGCGAGAGCGCATAAATCTCGACGTTGACACGTATGCTGCATGCTGCACCATGCATTTCCGACCATTGTGCATCCGCGCTTCCCGGTTTTCTCTCCTCCGAACGAGCGACGCTTCCTCGCTGCTGGCGTAATTGGGAAGTTTCCGAGAGGCTCGTTCGTTCGTTCAATGATCGGTCGATCGATCGATACACCGCCGTCGCGGTAGCGTCGTGGCACCGCAGCCTGCGCAAGAACCTTGGAATTCCGCAAATTCCTGCGGTACCGTTTGACGCACCCTGCGTGTACGCTTTACACACGAGAGCTTCTTTCGACACTACGCGCAGATCCTCCAGGGTCAATGGCGTAGACGAAGGGAAGTTTCCCAACGAAGGGAAAGCCAAATAATAGCCGATTTGCACTGCGGATATAGACAAGATGCAGCTGTGTCGCCGCATATCTTTCTTATCGGACCGGCGGTGTAGATAAGAATCCATTTATTAAGCATCGCGCCGTCAACGTTCACTAATTTATCTGATTACGAATTTTGAAGCTGACGCATAAGATAAATACACGACGCATTTTTTTATGAGTCAACCGTTCCCTGCGCGATAATGTAATCATTTTTTTCTACATCCGTGACTTTCGCCGCAGTTATAATTATAACGATACGAATTTTCGTCGTAGAAAAATATACGCGACTCTAGATTAATTTCAAGGCTTCCGCTTACGCTATTGACTTGGGGATACGTATAGTCGCGGCCTGCACGCACCATACTGTCGGACACAGAGGCCCCGCGCGTGTACACATATCTTTAATATCTTCGCGGCGAATCGACATTCATTAGGATGCATTGGCATTCTTTCTGGCCATACATACTCAGGGAAGGAACGAACGGATAATGGTAGAATCTCTTCCTCGTACGGCCTTAACGACCAAGAAGTCTACTATTCCGCACATCCCTAACGTCCTGCATTGTACTTCCGCCGATTAGCTACGAACAACGACTAATAGCTCAAGTTATCATTTTGCCGGCGTACATCCGCATAAATCAGATTGCTGTTCCCGATAATTTATAGCCTCGCAAGTATATAGAATTAATCAAGCTGGTATCTTAAAAATAAAAGTTACGCGATACGTAAAATTTTGCGTGAAATTATAATGATTAAAAACAAAATTTAACTAATTTTGAAATAGCAGCGACGAAATATTAGTTAAAGTTGTAAACATCTATTATTAATGCATAAATTGTACGACATTGTGACTTATAACAAATAAGTACGACTCGTAAAAATAATCATTTCGCGGCTCTGAGCATAGACGTGAAACGCGTGATTTTTACCGATCTGCGTAACAAATCGTCGGTATGCAGAAATAAATCGATTCATCGCGTCTGTATGCGGTGCAGCAACAAGAAGAAGTGCTGCTGCATCGGCGCGGATGACGTCAGCAGTGACGATTGATTAGGCGGAAATAAGCACGGAGGAGCCCATATAACCCCACATTAGCCTAATGACCGCGAACGCAGGTGATCCGGTGATCTACGATCGATGCTCTTTCTCTCTCTATCCCTCCCTTCCTCCCACCCTCTCTTGCACTCGCAACGAGATATCCGCGGTGGATCCTATGGATAATCGCCACGGGATCACGGTCACGGATCCTGAGCTCGCGCTCGCGTTCGTCGTATACGCGTGTTTCGCGAGATAACAAGTTGCTCGCGCGCTCTCGTATCGCTGAATGCGCTTTCGCGAGGCGCGTACATACGCGCCTGTTTATTCAAAGTTAAAAGGGGGAGAGAAGAGCGACGCGGGCCGATAAGGTAATTTATATTCCGCGTTAAATACACACCGCAGCCGTTTTCTTCGGCCGCTAGTCTAGTAAACGGAGTAATGACGTTGTGTTTGATAAAGAACCTTAATCAAGCCCGCGGATGATAAAGCGGGCCTAACGAAGATGTAAGCCCGGCGATTAACCGCGTTGGAAAATTCTAGCTGTCGGTTATCGAGATATTGATGCGCGTTTCATTGCTACGTCCACTGCATGGGAGTGTATTTGTTTTTCTTATGCATTTGTCTGTCATGCGATGATCGAGAACGCGTTCCAAAGCTCCCATATTCCGAAATCATTTACTCATAGTGCAAATCTCCCTTTATATTCTGAGATACCTAAAGAATTGAACTATATTTATGATTTTGATATAACTTGTAGCCAGTAATTTTTTTACATTAAATTAAATATGCAACATTTAGGCTATAATACATTTTTACTTTATAAGTTATAACAATGTATTACACAATATTTTGTTGTTTAAATATGTATGTTAAATAAATCGTAGATCATCTGCAGTCTCTAAACAGTGCAATATTATTAATCCAAAAATATATTTGCTATAATGCTATAGATTCTATAGAACAAACGCGGAGTCATGCCGGCAGCTTTTGCAGGCAATTGATTAATAATTAAATGCTCATAATGATGATTGGCGCGCGTGCGTTTCTATAACGATTAATCGGTCTTGCGAAACGCACACACAGCAGCGTGTAATGAACATATTTCACGATTATCTACGCCATTTCGTGGCCACTTATTCATTCCTTCCCGATGACACGATAAAACGAAAATTTCCACGTGTATCGCTTTTAAAAACAACCATTGATCACGGTCTTTTATATGCGTCGAATTTAAACTGCGAGCTATTTAAAGACAATGTAATTGTAGTTTGCAAATGCGTGATACATAATGCATACACCGAGCCGAAATCGATAAGCTTTGCAGGCTCGCGGAGCAGCTTCCGAAATAAACAAAATGGGAGAAATTCAATTAAGGAGCACGAGCGACAGACAGCTAAATCAGCTAAATAAAAGCGAGAGCTGGTGGGCTGTGTTATTTTACGTTACGAAAAACGGACGACGAATCGATAAGCGGGCAATTAATCGGTATTGGATCCAGTTGAATTAGCATTTAAAGGACCTGACGCCTTTTAAGACCAGGGGCTAAACGCAAAACGGCATGGGAATTCATTAAAGGCAGAATTAATAACTCCACCGTCCGTCCATCAGTCTAATATGACTCTGTCTTTTACATCCCAGCCCCCTTAGGCAGGGCAAAAGTCTTTACGTGTTCGTTCTATCTTTTACACCTCTCGTTCTCTTACCTCGCCTTCTCCGACCGGCCTCTTCCTCTCGCGGATCGAAGAGAAATCAGATTCCCTGCGTCTCTGTATTCATCCCGCCGACGTGGACCATTATTATCGCTCCGCGTGTATTCGCCGAGCGATTTAGCAATACAAATCAATACGGAAGACACGATTCATACAACTATAATATTTTCTTTTTTTTCTCTCTCTCTCGCACAAAGGCCGCTCCTGAAATATTATCCTGGCAAGCCAATTAACTTTCAGCGCCATAACACGTTAAATATCTCAGGAGCAAAGATTGAAACTAATTTCTTTTTTATAACGCTCATTTCCACTTTCTACTTACAATTAGATAAAAAGCGAAAGCGCAAATCAATGCTTTTTTTTGTTTAACGGATTTCTGGACACAAATTTGAGGACTTTTAAGTATTCATGTATGTACATACGATTTATTCAAATTACCTACGTACGAATTGTAGATTCATGATACGGAGCGCATTTGCTTCAATGCCTCTGTCGTTTCTTACGTTTTTACCCGCGCAGGAAATAAATAACGGAATGTTTCGCTTCTATTTATCGTGCAAATATAAAGTTTTAAAAAATCTATCGCGCCATCGAATTTCCATTTGCGCAAATTGTCTGTCGGAAGTGCGACTTCCGATTGCCTGTGACGACTGTGCTACATAATGCACGAACGATCGCGCCCTAAGGCTCTAATATATTTATAGTCGTTACTAGACTCTCATTTCAGAAGCATGTCAGCTAAGATACTTGGAATGAAACGTTATTCTGATTGTGAAACGCGAACGGTTCAATGGTCACATTTTGATTAGAGGATTTAATTTCGGAGGCTCGAGGAAAAGGGACGATACAAAATGGCACGAGAAACGCGTCATATAACCGTCACGAAAATAAACAATTAATTCTGCACAACTACAAATGGAACTACAAATAATTTATTCACCCCTACAGTAGCTCCGTTGTCGCCCGACGTCTCCCAAGCCTTCTCCTCCTTCCTCCTGCTCGTCCCTCCGTTGCAGCTTCTTCATAACCCGACGCTCACTCGTGAAAATACTAATTACGATCGCGCGCGGTTTGATAATCGATACCTGGGATGGGAAGATCGTACACGTTCGTATTAATCATCGCGCGGCGTTTTACATGGCGTCTCCGATCTTTTATTGTATGCGCGGCACGCACTTTACTCCTTTATCCTATCGGACGAATAACGCGCGAAACATCTACTTTCGATAAATAACTGTCGTCTTAATACGCTTACGGGATCATAAATCATTCGCGTGCGGTCTCTAATCAATTACAGGAAATAATTGCATTTAGCGTCTTGTGGCACTTGACTTGATCGTATCCCGAGTAAAACTACGACACACACGCGGAACGGCTCGGGCCCGCTACCTGCCGCTTTGAATCTCGCCGCGTGAATGATAACAATATGACCGCGTGTAAACAGTAGCATGCCAAACGATGCAAAAACGAAGGCCAAATACATACCGAGCGTCGCGTGCAAGCTCAATTCGTGGAAATGTATACATCATGACGTAACTGTACATTGGTTATTATGTTCTGCTTATTTCGAGTAAATTTCGGCAAACTATAGTCACGTTTTACGAACTCATTAGCATCGCCTAAAATATGGGGGGTTAATTCTATTCGTAATACATTAATCTTTCGCAATTTTAATATTCAACCGATACGAGATCCAAAAGTCATTAAATATGTACTTGTACAATCCTCCAGAAATCAAAACTGTGTATTCCAAGAAAAATTTCACACACATTTGAGTTTTTTTCAAAATGCAATTGTTAAACTATATGAAAACTATCAACAGTTTCAACTAAATTCTTTGGCAGAAACGCGGCTAAATACGGACTTAAATCACAAACGAAATAACTTGCGCGCAATTTCTAACGTTGCAAGTTCACGTTCGCGAATTATAACGCATTCCATAACGCTCGAACGCGATACGATAAGTGTGTATCGCATCTAAATGCTCTCTCTTTCTCCTTCTCTTCATCTGTCCCTTTCTTTCTCTTTCTCTCTTTCTCTCTCTCTCTCTCTCTTGAAAACGGAATTCGAATGCAATTAGAAAGAAAACGGCGCGGCGCGGCAAGCAGGCAGTTATACGAACAATGCTCGATTTATATGTTAGGCGATCAAAGCACGAGCAACTTTCTAGTCGCGTGTTGCCAAGTAGCTAGTAAATCGCTCTCGGCGTTCCGCGTCTAACAACTTATAACGTAGACTGTATGCAATAACAAACAACGGTAACCCAGAAAGATAGAAAAAAGGAGCGCTTATCTTGGAGCGCTCGTGCGCATTGCATATTTCTGTACGAAGGACTATATACTTAAAGAAAACAAGACAGAATAATACAAGTATCGTTCTCCGTTTCGAAGTATAATACGTCTACATTTCTATTATCGACCGACCGTACACTTCCGCGCAACAACGCAAGACTTTTCTTGTTATCTTTTCAATAATTACATTCGAAAGTTTTTATAAGATATTATAAGGAACGGAGCAGAAGTACCGTTCGTATTACTAAAGTAAATATTAAAATGTAAGTTTTATATGTTGCTGACTCTCATAGTCTCGAATGATACCTTGAGAGTAAATTATAAAATAAGAACTCGGCGAAACACACGTGCATACATACACACAGCGGCTGCGAAACTTTTTGCATGCACGAGACGCGGCTAATTAGCGTAATTCAGACTGCGTTTCGCGAAGGGAGAGCGCTCACTTGCCGTTACGTTTTTTCTGTTGGTCATGTCGCCGTCGCACACCACCACCACCTACGCTCGACAGGATCGCTTGCAAATAAGCCAATTTCGCGTAACGAGCGCGGACGAGGAGGAAAGTCTCACCTCGGCGAAGGAAAATAAAGAGTGCGAAGAGCCGCGTCGTTGGCGTCTTTACGGTGTGTTGCTGAAACGGTTTCATATCGAGCGATGCCCCGATCAACGCAAGAGCGGTTGTGGATCCTAAATAATGATAATAACAACAAGAATGATGCTTGCATTATGCCGCGGCCGAGGGAGAGCCTGGGGCTCTCAGGTCCGAAGTGCAGAGAGAAATTCGCTCTCGGATACGAAGATCGCGTTCGTATTTCCCTCGTGTATGGGCGGACGTAAAACCGGCGAATTGGCTGATAAATAAAAAGTACTTGACTTCCGTCAAAGGGGAAGACATACTCTCGGCTCGCGAGAAGACGTTAAAGTTTTATGACGATGCCGAGAAACATCGCGCGTCGTACCAATTTTCACGTTGGCTCGACTCGAACCCACAGCTCGACTGGTGCGAAAGTCAAGTCTGGTGATACACACGCGAGTGAAAATCGTCTTCCTATATAATGGTCGATCGAAATGTTTAACATATACGACTTCTCATGGTTTTCTTGGCGCGGTCGCGTATATGGGTTTGTCTGTAAAATAAAACTTGTTTGCTAACGCCACGTATTGCATCCCATTCACGTTATTGTAAATTCGTCTCGTTCTTCTCTCTTTCTCTTCCTCTTTGATAAATGTAGTCATCGCTCTCTATACCTTTTAGAAATAATTTTTTTTGGTCTCCCCGATTAAATGTTTATTAATGTACAGATTAATGTACAGACAAGTACAGATAATATTTTTTCAGCTTTGTCTAAAATTTTAAATATTAAACACAATTATTATTACAATCATAACGCTCAATATTTCAGTCGGAATTGTACATGAAATGTTAATTGTATTGAAATGTTAAACTTGTGACGCCTTTGGTACCAATTATTGCACATTATTCGAAAACACCTACATTCGGCCATGTGATATACGCGCGATTGTTCGAAAGATAATTCGATACCGGACATGATATGTAATGAAATAAGATACCTCGACGTTACATTCGTAACGCGGCAGAATCGCGCGCGCGCGATGGAGACTTTTGCAATCAGTCCGAATACCCTCGTAGGTCGAAATTGACTTCGCCGTCGCGTTAATCGCGCCTCGATCTATCGAGTACTCTCCCTTGTTCCGGACTCGAATCTATCGAACGGATCGACAGGACGCGAGAGAAGAGGCCGAGCACGAGAAATCGCCGCTCGTAAATCACCAAGTCACCCTGTGTGTATATATTCCTGCACGGGTAGGCTCACCGAAGTCACTTACTTTTTTTTTCTTCTCCGCACGTGTGTGTTACCCGCACTCGAGACGAAAATAAAAAAGCAAGTAGAACCCGGCCGGAAACGCACACTTTTTCACTGCGCGACGATATTTTGGTTTGAAGATGTATTTTCGGCCAAATTTAATTTTCGACACATTTAGATGTGATACACCTCTATATAAAATGCAACGATTATATTAATTATATATTAATATTTTGAATAATTAATAAGAATATTATCATAATTTTAATATAATAATATATAATTTCGGTATCGCAATAATTAAATTTGATACAGTTTTCATACGCAAAACGTATTCATTGCCACATCATTTAATCTTCTATTAAAAAATCGAATTTTCGAAAGAAAAAGTTTAATCAGCGGCATGTGTCGCAGGATACCTGTCGCGCAATTTTCTGCGGTAAAAGTTAAACACTGGCAATGACGATGCATACCAAATGATACCGTTCGTTTACCATCAGCGCGTTAATAATTACGGGCCTCGAGGCGTGTCTAATGCTAGCCGACCTGCTTTAGATCGGCAAACGCGAAGTCGGAATAGTCGACTTTCGTCGATAAACTATCGCGTTTCCGTGGCGATCGGAGATGTAGGCCGTTTTTGCTGCTGTGCGTGAAAGTAATTAGATGTTTCAACGGGTATCTCCGGTTAAAACGTGTATCTTGACACATGGTTTTAATTCAAGCTGTCCATTTTCCATGGACGGCCGGCCTTGACCACGATACTCTAACGTGACTTATTTTATTTACATACAGTATCTACTCTTATAAGTATCATGATGGACAGTCGTAATTGCATACTCCTCTGAGATATGCCAACAATGTGCATTATCAGGACCACCATTATCAGGAACGTGCCGCGGAAATTAAGGGCGGGATAAATTAAATACATATTTCATTTACACTCGTCCTTTTTCTTTAACACGTTACATTTTTTGTAGAGATATACAATACGCCAATAAGTAACATTCAACATACACGTGTTTTTTCGAGTCTCATCATTAATCAACAAACGATGGGAAAAAAAAGTATCGCTACGTGCAACTGTGCCATTAATAAACTCGTCCCACCTTACGATGATAATCAAAAAATTCCGGGGAACGATATTGCGTTATTAAGGCACGCTTGCGTCGGCGAAGGGCTACTATATCGGAAAAGCACGCCTTGCGGTCCCGCATGATCATTTATTACGCACCAAACGGACCGAACGCGCGCGCGCTTCTTTGACGGGCGCAAATCGAAGGGGAGAGAGAGAGAAAGAGAGGAGGCGTAACGAACGCGTGTTAATTATCTTTCACGGATTACACGATCGGGTACACGCGCCGGAAGTCACGCGAGCTCCCGGCCGCGTGTATTGGTGTATCTTCGAGAAATAAACGAGAGACGCGGACGAAAACCGGGACGAAATGAGACATAAGCGGATTCCACGCTCGAAACGAGTTTATTCAAGTTCGCTGGGGTCCGTGCGATTTAATCAATCCTCGTGTAGTCGGTCATGGCCGATAAGATTATTACAATCGCTCATACGGATGCGCACTGTCGGATTAATAATTTTAATGCTACAGAAGATAAATATATTATAATACATCCTGAAGCATATTACTTGCGAAATTACATCGTGTCATAATTATTATCGAAAAAACAAACCGAACTTCTATTAATTAGTGTACTCATAAATAAATAATTACGAATAAATTACAATGCTATTAAAGATTAAATAGGAATAAGATCCTGATGAAGATGTAGAAAATCGCTCCGTCAAAATTAATACAGTCAATACAAGTTATTCGTCTGAATGTGATTATGCTGAACAGAAAATGTGACGTAACTCTTATCGATATATCTTACTTGCGTCGTTCATCTACACTCAGCTTAATTCCCCGAATGTAGAATGGATTATTAACCAACGCTATAAAGACGCCTTTCAATAGTCCTTAATGGCTATCTTCGTGCGATGCGTCGCGCCACTACATCTTTACGATATCGCAATCTTCTTCGACACGAGGAATGTCTTCTCTCGAATCATGACGGATGACGGACAGCCAACGCAGGAAAAACCACTACGGCACATCACACCAGATCAGGAAATTATGACGGAGGATTCTCCGTGAAGGAGAAACCTTCGTATTCCTATCACGATAAAATTGGTGATATGCACCGTCGCGGTCATTCCTACGTCGAAAAAAAAATACCTCGCAGCGAGAAAACGTCGGGAACTCTCTTGGGACGCACCCTTTCCGCAGCTCCGCATTCGACCACGAAAATGAAATGAAAAACAACGTGAGAAATTGAAAAATATTTTTTTCTTCTTTTAAAATATTTTATGAAATTAGAAATAGCTATTTTGTCCACTTTGTACTTGTGAGAGAAAGATTGGTTTGAGGAAAAAACGTAGCGTGTAAAGAAGGAAAAAGTAGAAAGCGGTTTTGCGTAAATCATCGTCTGGAGAGATTCCGCAAGAAAAAATTGAAGATAATAAAACGCGAGATGATGCTAAAGACAAAGAACGTTCCACAATACGTTTAAGACGCGCAAAGAATTGTTAGTGCAACGAGAAGTTCGCAGCGAGAAGTTGTTAGCGATAAGGCGGACCGTCAGTGCTGATAAAAGTGAGACGCAGTGCCGACGGGACGAAATCGGAGTAAAAAAAAAAAGGGAGAAAGCAAAATAGAGTCACGCAAGTGATTTGCGTTCTGTGACGTGCAGCGGCGGGTTGTCTGAGCAAAGGCGGGACTTAATTGCGGTACACGGCGCGGAAAAAAAAAAGAGAAATAAAATTTGTTTACTGCGAGAAACTTTCGAGGCGACTTGTGCGAAGGAAGAAAAGCCAAGTGTGAAACGCTCCGGCGTCTCTTTAAAGTGTCAAAATAAATTTAGCGGAACGGATAACGGCTGTGCATTTACGCGAGTATTTATCAAGGTTCTACGATCTATAAACTCACAATACTTTTATTGTCTTATATAACCGTTAAACGCGGCAATAAAATTCTCTTGTAATCGAGTGAGCGTTGAACTTCCCCTTCGATTTTTACGACACCGATCAATCTCCGCTCGTCTTTGCCGTATATTTACTGTCGATCAACTAATGCGCGCAAGAATGTTACAAGGCCAACATAACGGAATGAGCGACTCGATTGGGCCAATGCATAATCGACTGAGTTCGAAAGTACAACTAATTAGATTTGCGGCCGTATATGCGGCGGCGACTGCGGCGTACTTAATGTACGTATGCATTGCTGCATGCACCACCGTGTAAGATGTAACGAGAGGTAACGTGCAATCTCCAGTAATAAGTGCGGCCGGTATGCCTGTGCTTGGCCTGGTATGCAAACACGCTCGCGCGCGCACAAACTCCCACCGTCTTATCGACACATCGGAATCGTCATGATAAAACACGACAGCGAAAGAGCGTTCGCTTTATCAGAAGCAGGTAGATGGCGAGTACATATCATATTTATAACGTTCCAAGATTATGCAGTTGCAAGTTCAATGAATGATAAGGCGTTCCTTTCTCCGTACGCTATCGCAGCGTCGTATAACGTATATACGATAGACTGGAAAATGGTCATTTATCTACGTGATAATCCGGCTTTCGTGAGAACGTTACGTGACTCTTGCCCCTGTAACTATCCACTTGAATATCTTATACTCCTGGAGGATATACAGAGATGAACGTGCGTTAAGAGTTTTGCGGTAAGGAAATTCCGTACCGCGATCACGTCGACGAATAAGACCCTTTGCGCCCTGCAGTAGACAAAGTAATTATTTCGAACATCAGTAGCTGCGCGTCCGGGAAGCATGAATATGCATAGGCGAGGACGCATTTGTATGCGCTTAAGAGAATTTCGATATACACGTTCGCGTCGTCGTGAAAACTGAAAGGAAGGGAACCTTGGTGTTCCTTTCACGAAACGCAATAAAATGCGGAGTCGCACAATCGTCTTTCTACCGTGAGCGCCCGACCGACGTTCGCGCTCAGCTGACGGGCGCGAAAAGTGGCGAGAGTGAATTTTAATAAAATAGTAATAGACCTTTCCCTTTTTCTTTATCGGCGGAGAAAGGATCGTTACGCCGCGCGCCGGCGAGGAGGTCGTTCGCGTCTCGATGACGGAATCACTTTCCTTTCGGTGGAAATCACGCGTGTGATTCAGACGTTTCGTATGCGCGCGATCGTACGAGACCCGCGAGAGGAGAATTCGTACACTTCGCCGCGAAAGAATCTTTCGCGATCGAATATCGCTTAAAGGCTTAAAAGCGTGTATACCCGGCCCCGATTTCATACGCGCGCATTAAAAGTTGCGCGCCGGTTAACGATCGTAAATTAGATGAACGCAAGTTTTATACACATCGACGGAAAATAGCGTGAGAAGAGTTTCTCCTTGAAACCAACGCAGCGAGAGGCGCCGAGCATAATTTTCGTAGCTGGACGAGGGCGTTTTTATCGCCGCTCTCGAGAGCTTGCACAACTCTTGCAAAACTCTTGCGCTTTTTTTTTTACGACGCGATTCTTTCGCAGCAACCAGAGGAATCTGTCGCGTGTCCCGCGCTTTGCGAGCGCAGACGCGTGCGTGATGCAATTTCCTTCCTGGCAGCGGGCACAACGTGCCGCACTCATGTGCGCGGAGAGATAAGGCCATATCCTATCGAGCACAATAACACACCGACACAGGCGTCGTAAAAATATCGCTCTCGCACGTACGTGAAAGAAAGACGAAATATATGTCGCGTACTTGACTGGATGAGCCGACAAATACATATACGCGTGTATACTTTCGACGTGTCGCTTTAACT